AAAGTCGTTCTAGGCACTTTCAGCCCTCCCACTGCCGCCGCCTTCCCGGCTAGTCCTTCTCTTCGGCGTTGGTCGTACGTCTGCCCTTCCCTCCGTGGCAGCCTCATACCCGCCGTCTTCTTCCATTTCACTCATGCTTGAGGCGTTGCTTAGCATACTGGCCCTTTTACTCTGCCAAGGCAGATTGCCCTCATTAGGCGTACTGGGTCGAGAGCTGACGGCAGGTCTTTGCGGTGGCTGGCGTGCCGACTGCGCGTTGCCCTGTGTGATGGTTGTGCTGGAGCGGAGAGAAGACTTGCGACTTGTAGTTGTGCTATTCGACGCGTTGCTCCACCGGCGCTCATGGCTTTCCATTGGGCGGAGGCGACCGTCCATGTCTACGTCTGGTGTGGGCGTTGTGCTGCGGGACGAGCTTCTCGAATGTGATCCGTCTCTTCCTCTAGCGGCTTGCAATGTACTTAGTCGTCGTTTCCGTGACCCGGTGTGCGAGAGACTGTGGCTGTGACCGTGGTGGTGTCCGCTCTTTTCGACGTCTGCGCTCCGTCCACTGATACCGCGAGCGCGCTTCCATCCCCGCCAGCCGGTCCACCATAGCCAGCCGCCTTCTTCCCTTGCTATCTCGCGTTGTCTGGCTCGGACGCGCTTCCGCAGCTCAGCTCGTCGCTCGTTTTCGGTGGCCCAGTATTCGTTCCTGTAAACCTCCCACTCTTGTCGGAAGTCGGGCGTGAAAGGCTTCGGGAGCAGGAGCAGCTTGATGTAGTCGCCTCCAGGCGCAATGTCTTCCTCGGCATATTCCTTGCCGTCTTCTGTTATGCGATGGCGGGGTCGGCCGCCGTCCAAGGCGTGCTTGTTCTCCTGCGCAATATTGATGAAGTGGTATGAACTGCCGCCCTGCTCGCCTCCCCACAGCCCGCCAGAGAAAGGCACGATAAAGTGTCCCCATTCCACGAGCTCCCTCCACCATGGCCCTCTAATGACCACAATCTTAGCGTTCATACCCCTCAGGCCTCGGTTTGCGACTCCGATCCAGCGACGCGGCCATCGTACTCCTCTTTCCCATTGGCCCGTCGCCCAGAAGAGCAGAGCGGTGACGACGCCTGTGATGAAGCCCACCTTCTGCAGCATATCAACGAGCCAGTATTGTGACCCACCAATGCCCTTGCCATCTTCTCGCGGCCGCAGCCACAGCAGGTAGAAGCAGAAGCCGATCCATACGGCGAGCAGTGTGAGGACGAAGGTGTTCTGCCGCCGCCGGGCGCGGAGGGTGAGGTACTGGCTGCGGAGGCTGGCCTCGAGGATGAGCAGGTTCAGGTAGATCTGTGGCGGCGACGAGGGCAGGAGCGACGTCGGGTCGCTGAGGACGGGCGGGCGCGGCGTCTTGATGGTGGGCAGGCGGCCGTTGGCATCGTGGGGCGGGTCGGCGAGGATGGACGCTGAATAGGGCGGCGGGTCTCGCTCGACGCTCTCGGCCACCCTGTGCAAGCTCGTGCTCGGCGCCGGCGCGCCCTTGACGAGCTGGTCGAGTGTTTGCGGCGCCATCACGCCTCTGTCTGGGGATGCCGTGCGCGTGTCGGTAGAAATGACATGTGAATGCGACGCTGGCGACGCGAAGGTGCGAGTGTTGCTATGGGGTCTTGTCCCAGGCTGGTGTCCTTCTCTCTACCACGACCAAACGGTTGCGTGCACGTGAAAGAGAATGCGCACCGCGTACGAGGGGCCCGCGTGCCTATATCAGATGCTGTGCATCCGGCGCGAAGTCGGTCTGGCACTCCGATGATGCACCCGCTCGCTTAGCTGGGGCGGTGAAGACATGGATTGCTGGCATACCTGTTTATACCCCACAATGCTAGCATGCTCTAGGAAGGCCGTGCTGGCTATCCTTCACGGAAATGGGTGACACGTCTTGCGCCCTGCAGTAGTGAGCGATGTGTACGGAACCGGGCGGGGGTGAAGTATGCAGGGGCTCATGTGAGATCGTCTTGCGGAACTGAGGGGTACCATTCACCGATACGAGGTGAGACGCTGGTTGTGGTGGGTTGAGAATTTGTATGAGTTGAAGAAAGCCTGCGGTTGAAGAGGCCCTATACTAAATAGGGTGGTAGATCCAACATGTTCGCAATCGAACGCTATACGTAACAAAACGCCCAAAAATGCTACCCGTCTAATGCGTCGACATCTATGCGCGCCTCTTTGCCTGTTCCCTTTGTCGGACTTCGTTCATTTCTTCCAACATGACGCGGTTGAACTGCTCCCATCCATCCAAATACACATGATGACCGGCCTTGTTGATGATGACGACTTTGCCTACACCATGATCATTCTTCTCGTCTGCAGATGCCTTCACCAGTATCCGCTCCCGCTCCTGCTTCATCTTCTCTGCGGCAGCAAAACCACCAGCGACGTCCATCCAGTCATTTTCACCATACATGAAGACGACTGGGAAGCTCGTTTCGCGCTGTGCGGCAGGATTGGCGGCGGTCTCGCCGTCCACTGTGGGCTTGTCATGTGCTTGTAGGTATTGTCGACCAACGCCTTGGATTCTTCGGATCATCGGACTTCGGGCAAATGCCCCGGGAGCAAGCAGGTACGACAGCGCATACTCAGAACTACCTCGTTGGCGGAACAGAGCATAGCTGTAGTCGTGCAGAGCTTGAGCCTCCTCTTCCGGCAGTTGTGAGAAGCGGCGTGACGTCCAGCCCGATACTAGACGCGGGCCGAGGGGTCCCGACCAACGTACAAAGGTAAAGGGCGAGACCATGTTGGCCTCCCAGAGAGAATAAAGCCACCAGGGCAATCGTCTTTTCGGTGGCTGTTTGGGCTCTTTCGCAGTGCCTTCTGTCAAAGAGTCAGTCAGGTTTCACAGATCTGTCCAAGACGGTACGTACCATTCTTGCTTCGCTGATTCATGAAGTTGTTGTTGTCCGCTGTCGATGGCTGTACGCCGTTCCGGTTCGTGTCGGCCGCATCCTGGGTGAACTCGTTCGCCATAGTCGAATCTTGCGGATCAGGCATCTCCTCATCGACCGCGTACGGGTCCTCAGGTATACCGACTGGAGACGCAAGTATCAACTTGTTGAGATGACCCGGATACTTCAGTGCATAGGCAACAGCTAGGTATCCTCCTAAGCTGTGTCCGAGCAACGTGAAGCGATCTAACCCCCTCTTTATCCGCCACTCCTCGAGCGCATCTACAAACCAGGACTCGGTCTCTGCGATCTTTCCCTCCTTGTCCTTGGCATGGATCTTGAAGGCCGGTCGACTGCTCCGGCCCATGCCGAGCAGGTCCAGCGCAAAGACTTTCCAGCCTTCAGCGCGGGATAACGACTCGAAGTTGCGGTAGAAGAAGCCCAATCCAGCACCGTAACCGTGCAGCATGACCAAGTTGTTCTCCACGTCCTCGCCCAGTCGCTCCACGGAGAACTCGTTCAGCGCGCGGTCCTTGCCACTCAATTCCACCATTTGTGAGTTCCATCTTCGTGGTCCGTATGGGTCGTTGGTGGCATTCGTCGTGGTGTGGTCTTCGGGGTGCTTCGGTGGCGCATCGAGGTCTGTTGTGGACGGAACGGCCGAGGCAGGAGCGGTGCCCGTTTGGGTATGTGTGGGTGGACTCTGGAGATGTGGGATGTAAGAGAGGACGCGGTGCTCTGTTCTAAGGTTCGCATGCGCAGTTAGTACACGTCTGACATGCAATTCATACAGTCATCACTTACGCCATGGGAGATAGACCTGCCCACCACTGGTCAAATCCCGCTTTGGCTGACAGAGGAAACCATTTGGAAAACCTCCCCTGCGCCTCTCCCTGCTCTTTCGCGCGTTGGCTCGCCAGCATAGCCTGCTGACCTCCCTGCCTCCCCTCTTCGCTGTCCTGCCCGGCCATGGTCGAATTTCCTTTATTATCAATTCTAATGGGCGTGCTCAGGCTCAGACTGATGTAGCTCGCGCCGCCGAATCCCGCGCTCTTATGTATGACGCTGCGGGCGCTGGGTCTGGCTAGGTAACTTCGTAGCATTCGCAGGCGCGCTGAAAGTAACAATGCTTGTGATGACAGGGAAAAAGAACGCGACAAGTAGACTGAGGGTGGAATGGTGGCGGTATTTGCGGCGTGTCGCAGAGCACCCTTGGGGCGCTGCCTGCGACGGATTTGTTTTGGTACAATATCTTGACGTAGCCTCTGGACGAGTTACGGTGGCGGAAACGCGATGGCGACGCGGAGATAAGAACGCCGACGTTTGTCGCAGTCCTCGGACAAGTAATCTAGCCGTCTCCGTCTATCGACTCTCAGATGGCTACGCGTGTCGGTACGGCGAGTTAGGGAATTAGATTTGAGGCAAGTCAAAGGTAGATGTGATTCTCCTCCGCCTTCTGCTTGGGAAGTCGCGACTGATATGCCTGCCCACTACCCCACTGAAAGGGTTCATCGAGCCTCAAGTTCCGTGTGAGGCCCTTCGGCCTATCAACTGCACGAGACCCACCACACCGCCATCATGCTCACATGGTTCGCATCCTGTGACGCAAGGCAAAATAGTGTAATCGATTACTTCCATTAAGTGCGATATGTCATAACGTCGTCGAGAGTACAATGCTAACAACTCCAACCCAAATGCAAATGTCCCGCATGCATACAAACAAAGTAGTGTACAATACTGATTAGGATAGCCCAGCAGATTTCTATCTGTTACTGAGCTCCTCGACCCAGTGTATTCTTCATCCTGTCCAGCTGCTCACCGCGAAAGGCAAAGCGTGTTGCAGCGCTGCTACTGTGGCCGCTGTGCTAAGCTTGAGATGTGCCTCGTGGCTGTGGAATAATCTTTGGTGCTGGGTGTGCTGGTCGGTCTTTGGATGGCCCGCCATCTTTCCGTGGCGGAGGGATACCGGCAATGCCTTCTGAGGCGGGTTGTGAATGTGGCCACAATGGAGGTGCCGGTGCTGGTCGCGGCGATCTTGGTGCGAATATGCGCTGGTTAAAAGGTCCCTTCATATCTTGGGATATCGCTCGTTCCTCACACGAATCGCTGAGGCTCTTGGGCGTACGTCATGGTGTTCGCACTCATAACGCTCTGCTGGCTCATGCGCGCGCCGCGGGTGTCGACCCCACTGCCAGGCCTCTGCTGCTTTTGCAGGCGCCCATTGTTGTTTGAGCTCCCCGACTCGGTCCTGGTCTGAACAGAGAAAGGTCTTTGTGGAGGTGCCACACCTTGCTTTTCGAATAGTGTCTCCTCGCTCATGGGCGCTTGGTTCAGTACGCTTTGCGGTTCCGGGCGGCGCTTTCGCTTGATGCAGCAGCAGTTGCGGTCATATGGATAGGCCCAGAAGAGGTAGCAGACTGCCCAGATCAAGATGATGCATGGTACAATTCCGAGGCATACAATGAGGGCAATAGCTGTCGGTGAGATTCCGCCGTTGCCGTTTGAGTCTTCTAGGAACCGTGCTTGGAGAGGGTGGATGGCAGGCATATTTGTGGTAGTATTTCTGGTTGGTAGAGTGTTCGAGGTCCGATCTGGCGGCGAGGTAGATAGAGTTGTGTTTATTCAATGCAAAGAACAGGTCACAAACGAAAAGTGTCAAGAGGTAAGGTGAGAGCGACAGGAATGGACGGGTTACGGAGCGTTGTGAAGCGAAAGTCGTACGTGAAAACTGTCTGGAACAATGAACAGGTGCTGAAACGAAGGATGACAGTTGCCGGTGAAGCGCTTTGTATGCGGGTCTGGTTAAGCCACCCGTGGAGACGTCATGGGGGCTGTGGAGAATCGACTGACGCACATGGCCGTCATGCCGAGAAGTCGGAACTCCTGGCGGTTGCGCGTTCTCATACACTAGAGCGATTAGACATACGCTACACTCTTGGTGCGAAGCCGACTTCCCAGTAGTCTGTCTCTTCGCAGATGCTGTTGCTTGTCAGTCCTTGCGCTTGGTGCCTTGTTCACGACTGAATGATTCATCGACGTTCTTGAGCTATTCAGATCTACCCAGCCTCTGATGAAGCGACCAGGATCCTGAGACTGGGCCTGATTACCAGGGGCCGCACCTGACGATGTCCTCAGAAAGCTACACTCGTGCCGTCTCAGCCGCAAGCCCAAAAACCTGGAGGATGGTGAGCGCTACAGGCGACCATGTCATTGACGTGTTGTGTCCTAGTATGAAGCGTTAGCCCTGTTTCCAACTAGCGAGACCGGAAGGCGCGGCGATGACCGCATGGATGTCAGACTAAGCCGGCCCAGATCACTGCGTGTGGGGTAAACGTCTGCATCGTGCGAAATCGACATGAACCTGAGTACTCAGTGCCGTGGGCCTCAGGTTCTCTGCGTTTTGCTTCATCCCGTCGCTGAAGCCAGGAAATGAAGGGTGCAGATGTGCAGCGTCTGCGTTAGACGGATGTGGGGCAGCCGATCTCATCTGACAGTAGGCGAAACGCGCAATCTGCAAGCGCCCACACTCAGGGATCAACTCTCAGGACGAGTACGTACCGCCGTGCTTAGCAATCGTCTTCGAGATGCTGCGCGAATTGCTCTGCCAAACCTCTTGTCGTCCGGCTTCGCCCAAATCCACCACCTCAAGACTCTTGAGGCCGTCTTCATTCGGACTCGCGTCTTTGGCGGCCCGAAGTGTCGATTGGAAGAGCGCTTCCGTTTCGTGCCATGGCATGGTCTGGTCACTCTCGGCATGGACAAGGACCAGCTTGAACCTCGAGCAGGTACCTACTCAATTCATCAGTATCGGATCAGACGGAGTTGAGTAAATTTGATCGTCGTATAAACCACGACATGGCTCCACAACAGTTTGGGTGCTTCGTCAACTTACGCGCCATTGTTGCCAGTCGATCGTCGCTTCGCCAGGTATCTACCATCCTACGGGCAAACCAGGCCTGGAAGGCAGGGAACACCTTCACAGGCGCAAGAACAGGCACAACGCCCCCGATCGAATATGATGAAAATGCGTTTCCAGCGTTCGTAAAGGCGGCGCACAGAACCAGGCCAGCGAACTCTATGCCGAGACTGGTTGCGTAACGGTGTGCAATGCCTGATACGACAGCGGTCCCTAGTGAGTGTCCCAAAAGTACGATTCGCTCGGGAGGTATCAGGCAAGTCTGCAAAGCCCAGTCAATGACAGCCTCTGCATCGTTCAGTAGACCAGATTCCGAGGGTTCGCCTGTTGAGATGCCAAAGCCGCGATAGTCGAATGCTAGAACAAACATCTTCTCCGACGCTCCAGCAGAGAAGGATCGATACTCTATCGTGCGGCGCTCCTGTGCTAAAGTCGCAGAATTCCCGTGAAAGTAGATGAGTAGTCTGGCTTCCGGGTCGTTGCGTAGCGCATTCCAGGCAACTGTATTCTCTACGTCGATGCCTGTCTTCTCCCCGATGAACGCATCGGCATTTTTAGCATATATACCCAATGGTGCTATAAGCCATGCGAAAAGTCGCTCTCCGTCTTTCGAAGTAATGCGAAAGGGAATGACCTGGTTTTCTGATCACATAAGCCCAAAGAACTATACGGCGCATCGGTTCGTCACCAAGACCTAGGAGACTTGACATACTCAGGAATCCCGCTCTTTCAGGCTGCGTCAACCATTTCCCGGGGAAGAACGTGAAGTTATGGAGATAGAGCATTTCTGACTTTGTTAGCGTTGGCCTGTTAACGTTCACTCGGCAGGTATTTTCTAACGTTTCTGGACCCATGGTAAGCAGCATAGCAGCGTGGCCGGAATCCATATCAGACTGAGAAAAGACAGAGTCGTGCCGATAGATTCATAGATGCTCATGATGGAGTTGGTCGTGTACTCGATGGCGGAAGCGATTCGCACCGGGAAAGAAGCGGGAGGGTTAGCGCGCCGTCCATAATCGCTCGCACTGCCTGCCTGCCGGCTCAGGCGTTCAGTCAAACGCTGGCAAGGACGCGCATTCTGTCCGCTGTTTGTTTGTGCTGAAATTCACGATCAGCGATTGTGCGCACCGGCTTAAGAGTAGATGCAGTAGCTCAGGCGGTCCAGCTGCCAGATGAGGGGTACCGGTGGTCGGGAAGGAGGCATGCGGCGTCGCGCGCCCACGCCAGGTGCCTGCATCAACTCAAGGTACCGCCAGCAACACCTACTGAGACCACAGACACCACTCGTATCAAATGTTGTGCGAGATTCTGCAAGCTGACTCATGATCGCGAATACCTCACAGATCCTCACCTAGTGCGGATCACGGGCGGACCGACGAGTGATGACAGCCATATCGAAGCCGAATCACTTCATGAAAGTCTATTTCGAAATACTGTAGACGACGCATGAAGGGGTCATTCTATATACCCCTGTCGCTGTACTCAGTACACGCTGAGAAGTAGCTGAAAGTGAAGCATATAGTATTGAATTGCATTACATCTTCTATCTCGGCAACTGGATACGAAAACTTGCTGAATCCTAGGAAATATCTCGCTCGTCTCCCGGTCCGACCAATATATGCCCATAACTACGGAGTCTTGCGCTTACTGATTGATTCCCTGTTCCAATACTATTGAACGGCCTCGTGCTAATCTCCCAGATCTGGCGGTCTACGGCCTTTCTTGCGCCAGCTGAACGGCTGATACTCCTCAGCTTGCGAAGAGGTGTTAGCAGCGGGCGACTCATATAGTGACTTATCGACCTCCGAGTACAGGCTGGGGTGGAGTGCGACCTTCATCTGTTGGTCTTTGGCATTGACGAATCCCAGAGCGCGTCGCATCTCAGAGTCTGTTGCAGATTGACGCTGTAGGACTGCATTGGCATCCTTGTACTCTTTGGATTCCAGACACGCCATCGCGTGGGCGATGTTTATCTCCTTTTCCAAAGAATAGTCTTCATCATGCTCAGTGGGTGCGTATGCAGTGTAGCGCTTTGGCTTTTCTGACTCTTTGCGGAGGGGTCCGCGAGCGCTGGAAACATCTGGTGCTGAGACTTCGGTGAAGATACGCATCTCTTTGTCATCCTTTTCGGGGTCGTAGTATGTAGACGCCGAATATGCAGAGGATCGAGTGGAGTAACGATGCCCGTCATTGTAGTTAGTCGGTAAATCTGGAGGGGCTGATGACTTACCTCCGCGGACAATGCGAGCTTTTATCTTTTGGAAGAGCGACGGCCCCCTTTCTCTTTCAACCTGGTAGATAGTCGGCGCGCGGGACATTTTGTGCCCAAGATATCCAGTTTCCTGGTCGAGTTCCGAAGAAGTGTAATGTGCCCAGGGGGTCTTGTTTAGCATATCACGCTTCATAACCATTTGCGGTGTGATGCGCTTCAGCTCCCCGCACTCCAACTTCGAGATCTGCTCTTGCAGATCTTGGCACGAGGAGCATTTACCTTTGAATCGCATGAAGACTAAGTAACCTATCATTGCGATGAGAAGAATAGCAAAGAGGATGAATAGTGAAAGGATGATGATGACGGGGGTATCGTCAAAGTGGCGGTTTGGACCCAGTGGAATAATAGTGGGCGAAGAAGTAGGCGGTGATGTTTGAGAGGGAACAGCCGATGATATCGAAATAGTGGGTTGAGGGATCTTGCTGCTCAGGCTTGCGGAAAGACTAACGGCGGCTGTCGTAGATGCGGACGGCTCGAACGTAGCCTGAGCAACGTCTGTGGGATACACAGTAGTGTACTCCGTGAGCATGACCACCTTTGCTTGTGCCATGCTTTTCATCTGTTTCAGTGTGAAAGTAGTCTTGTTTTGTTGCGTGGTGAGCTGTCTTGCCTGAGGGACTTTTGCGTTATTGGTCGTCTGGTGTAAGGTGGGATGAGAGAGATTATAAGCGGTGCCTTGCGTCATGCGTTAGAAGCTGTTTGCAGTACGCGCGGTCCCAGTATGTCTACAATGCACTGATCAGCTGACTGAATTAGCTCGTCACTAGAAGAGACTGCGTGTACCCACAACGCTGACTAGTGATAGTGAATATCACACGCTAGAGACTTAGTTTACTACTTCTCATGTGTTGTCTACTGATACATCCTTCAAGATATCACACAGTCTCTTCTGAGTCATGTAGACAGACAAGGGAAACCTAGGGGATATAAAACACTACTTTCGCGACACAAGAGACATGTAATACAGACGATCGTTCCGAGTTCATATCTCTCGCCATGTTGTATGAACTAAAGCACAGCTATGCTTAGGATCGACTTTGTACATGGCAATGGCCTCAATGATTGACATCAGAACTGTCCAGAAGTTGCATTGTCACTGGTGCTGACGTTTAGAGTCACTTTGATGTCACGAAAAGACGAAGAAAAGCTTTGGTGGATATTGTTCAATTATCCATATCATTACAATCCCAACTAGATAGTCGGAATAGTGATAAAGGTTTCCAGCATCGAACGTCAATTCGAAAAGGAAGCTAAACTATTGTTGGCCTCCTACATGGTGTGCTTTGCATCTACATGCTCGGCGTGAGAGACTGAACCCTGCTTAGCAGCGACTTCCTCAACACGGCGCTCGATGTCGAGACCCCATTCTGACGACTTCATGTTGGGAACGAAGAGAGGAGCGTTGGTGAAGAGGTAGTTCATCTCTTCGAGAGGACGCTTGGCGGTCTCAGGCAAGAAGCAGTAGAAGAAGACGGCGTTGGTGAAGTTGCAGATCTGAGGATTTGATTAGCTTGAGGTCAAATTGTTGAGCTGCGAGAGTACTTACAACGAACAGCAGATAGAACCTCCATCCCACGGATACCATGCCGAGCTCGGTGACTTGCCCAATTAAGGTGTTGAAGGCAAAGGAGGTCATGGTGGCGATCGATACACCCTTGGAACGGGTCTTTGTATCGAAGATCTCGGCGGGAATAATCCAAGATAGCGGTCCACAAGTCGATGAGAAGCAGAAGTTGTACAGCCAGGTGACAGCAATGAAGCCCCACGAAGCACTTGCGTTTCCTGTTGATCCCGGGGGGAAGACGGCCAGCATAATGGTGGATACGATGAAAGTGAGGCAGTTACCAAGGTTGCCACCAATCAGAGTCCAGCGGCGTCCCAGTCGGTCGATGAAGGCAATGCAGAGCGCTTGTCCGCAAAGAGCAAGAACGGAAGAGATGGCCTGGTATTTGAGCGCCTCAGTACCATCAATACCCATCTGCTCGTAGATGGTGACTGAGTAGTATTGGATAGCCGAAACACCAGTCATTTGAACGGAAGCCTGGAGCGCACAGGCGAGGAACAAACGGCGGAAGCACGACTTGTCCTTGAAAAGCTCGAGATAAGATTGAGCCTCATGCTCTCGCTCAAAACTGAGGGCTTCCTGAATTTGCTGGAACTCGGCTTGAACCCAAACGTCGTTGGTGTCACCATGGGCATGAAGCTTGGCCAAGTTCGTAAGACCTTGCTCGACCTTGCCTTTGCTGATAAGCCATCTGGGCGACTCGGGGAACAGCATGATAAGTGCGGCCAAGAAAAAGGCAGGTACGACCTGGATACCCAGTGATGTTCGGAATTGACCGTTATCGCTATCCGGGAACCCGATATCAACGCCATAACTGATCCAGGCGGCGGCTAGGGCACCGATACCCAGCATGAACTGCACCAATCCACCAATACGTCCGCGGATGCTGGGATGAGCCAACTCGGATTGATACAGAGGGATGATCATGACGAGGAAGCCGACACCGACGCCAGCAAGGACACGTCCGGCGTAAAGGTAGTTGAGGTTCACGGCAGCAGTCTGCAGAGCACCACCAAGCATGAAAACCTACAATCATCATTGCGTTAGCAACAGTGCACACCAGTAGAGTTTTAGTGAGTACTTACGCAGGCGCCCATCAAGATAGTAAGTCGTCGACCGAGGTAGTCACCGGCGGGACCACCGAACATAGCACCGAAGAAGGCACCACCGGTAAAGACTGACACAACGGCTCCCTTTGCATTTGAGCCAGGATCGTTGAACTCGCGTTTGAACGCTCCGGAGGCGATGACCTGGGCGATAACACCGAGATCGTAACCGTACAATAGCGAACCAAGGGATGCAAAAAGACCCACGAGGAACTGGTAGACTTTGGGAGGGAGCGCCATGGCTGCTGCAGAGGAGATTGAGCGCTGCAGTGGGGAGGGGGATGCGATGCGTAGAGCGACCCACCATCGGCAGCCTACTGGCCCTTTATACTTGAAAGCATTATTGATCCTGCTGCGCTGCTCCCTTGCACCATGTCACCACCCATGGCCGACCGCGGTCTGGGGAACGCATCGAACGAGGCTACTCCACGGTCTCCGCAAAGAGCGGGGACACTGACTCGACTCCGCGTTTATTCTCTCCGCGACCCGCCTCTTTATCCCTGCATCACCAGCCATCGGCGTCAATACCGAGGCGACAGCAACTGTTCGGTCGATCGTAGCCCGAATTGCTACTTTTGCTTCCAACGCGATAACGTTAGCACATGCATATTCAGGATGCAAATGTAGAATGCGCTACATTTCCACTGGTGGAAGTCTTCTTGGCTCCCCGTGGTCGTGGCGGCAGTTTTTCTGTAAACAACAATAGTGCGGCATGTCTCCGAGATGATAGCAGCTAGCGTCCGCTGGGGAAATTCCACGAATGGGAGCATGTGTCAGCGTCGGGTGCGTCAACCAATCTGGCGTTGGCACCGACGCCGAGCCGGAGGTGGGCATGAACGCCATGAAGCCTTCAACGACATCGCGAAGGTCAGGCCACTACCATCGTGAGTCCTGATCTTGCATGTGAAGTTCTTTTCCAATACACCACACAACTCAACCTTCAAGCATCATCACCATCTGTCCTCATCATCATGGCAAGCTTCACCAAGATTGAAGAGAGCGAAACGCCTTCCATCACGATACATCCCTCTCACAAGATCGCGAAGATTAACGACAACATCTATGGAGGATTCACTGAGTAAGCTCCCACATAGACGCCCTGCGGCTGGCGTTGGATGCGTGTTTCTTTTTCGGCTAACCGACCACGCACCAGGCACATGGGCCGCTGCATATACGGCGGCATTTACGACCCCGGCAACCCTCTTTCCGATGAGAGAGGCTTCCGCAAGGACGTCATCGAAGCTTTTAAGGAACTCAATGTGCCTGTAGTGCGGTACCCGGGCGGAAACTTTGTAGCCACATACCATTGGCTTGATGGTGTTGGACCCAAAGAGAACAGACCGAAGAGGTAAGTTATCACGGATGTTAACTCATGCGTGGCGTCCCTTAACTGCACATGTGCGTTGGGGGCTGCCGACGCGTCTCGAGGATCAGCTCCCGTTGGCCGTACTCGCGCCACAAGCGTGTTCATGTGACATCGACCCAGCCACCATTTGTTCAGCATGTCCGCTACAGCAAGCTAATTCTGAGCCTAGGCCTGAGCTGGCATGGATTGGCATCGAGCCGAACACATTTGGTACGGATGAGTTTATGCAATGGTGTGAAGAAGTCGGCACAGAGCCATATCTCTGCCTCAACTTCGGAACTGGCACTCTGGACGAAGGTTTGTTTCACCCGATTGCTATTGTTGCACATGATCTGACTAAATGTAGCTCTCGGATGGCTTGAGTACTGCAACTCGGATCGCGACACCTACTACGCCAACCTTCGTCGCAAGAACGGTCGCGAGAAGCCTTACAATGTATGTTCATCATCCTCTATTTACTCTTCCTACATCATCGATCATACTGACGACCATCTAGGTCAAGTACTGGGCCCTCGGCAACGAATGTTGGGGTCCATGGCAGGTCGAGCAGATGACCAAAGAAGACTATGCCAAGAAGGCTTATCAATGGGCCAAAGCCCTCAAACTTCTCGACCCAACTATCGTTACTATCCTTTGCGGCGAGACCGGTTACTCCTCCTGGGACTACTATGTCCTCAACCAGTGCGTCAAGTGGGATGTCCATGGTCTCAGCGGCGATACCACCAAGTCGCTCATCGACATGCACTCCATCCACATCTACACTGCCGACAAGGAGCATCTGCCCAATGCTACCGCACCTCGGGCGGCTGAGCGAGCAGTGCAGATGACTGCGAGCTTGATCGATCTTGCACGCATCGAGAACAAGGTTCCCGAGACAGTGCCCAGGCAGACTATCTGCTTTGACGAATGGAACGTCTGGGACCCCGTTCGTGCGCCCGGTGAGCTCGGAGCTGAGGAGAAATACACACTTTCCGATGCTCTTGCCGTTTCCATCTTCCTGAACGGCTTCATCCGACAAGCCAAAGATATGGGCATGGCGACTGTCGCACAGAGCGTCAACGTCATTTCACCTTTGATGACGACGAAGGAAGGGCTCGTCAAGCAGACTTCTTGGTGGCCATTGCTCCTCTTCTCCAAGTACATGCGTGGTCACACAATTGCGCTCAATGTTCGCGCCCCAGAATATACCGGCCGCACGAACCCGAGCTGGATCCGCAACACTATCGAGACGCCCTACCTAGACTGCAGCGCCACGCTCAGCGACGACGGTTTCATCAACCTTGCTGTCACCAACGTCAACGAGAAGCAGGACTTTGAAGTTGACATTCCGGGACTGAAGGCCGACAAGGTAGAGGTGCACACCGTGACGGGTGACAATGTTGATGTGGTCAACACTGATGGCGTGCAGAATGTTGGTATCAAGGAAAGCAGCTGGGATGGGCAGGGCAAGTTCAAGTTTGGCAAGCATTCCTTCACTCTGCTGAGGTGGAAGGCTTGAACTGCTGGCAGTATACAGCGCAATACTGACTGGTGAGTTTGTGGAATGAATTAAGACAATTAGATATATGACAATAGAAAGCCTATGCAGCAAGTATGATGAATGCAAGCACAGACGGAGATGACTACTAGTTCTGCTAAATGCCATCAAGCTCTCACAGTATTTTACAACTCTCCCGTTTCCATGTACTTCTTTGCGACCATTAACCAACCATCTCGATACGCCCTCACCTCATCCGCATATGTGTACAACATGGCGGATCCAACCACGACAAGCCCCGGAAGAAGGATCAACATGACAAAGTATTGAACCATGCCCCACCATGCATTCTCAAGACCTTTGCGCATGGCCTTGTCTTCGCTGGTTTTCGGAAAACCCTCCTTCGGTACCGCTTTGCCCAAGAACTCGCAGAGGGGCTCCCATTTCAGTTCTCCGTCAGTGTCGAGCTCCAGTAATTGACTTTGAGGTACCAACGAGCGTACAGTGTCGTAATGCTGGTTGAATGCCGATTTCGCTGCCTGGCCACCGTATTGGTTACCGTTGTGCACCTGGAATATGGCATGTACCAGTCGCATTAATGGGGCCAACTGTGTGATGTTGAGTTGACGGCAGAGAGTGAATAGCCGCCATGTATCAAGACACCATATACTGTCTTGCATGCTTTGTTCCCAGTCTTCGTACCGCCTCTTCGTCAGGATGACCTTGGCTTGTGGGTAGGCCTTCACCAGTTCCGTTGCGAACACACAACTGGGTAGATCCATAACGACATCGTAGTCGGCCAATAGTTTGTCAAACTCTTCCTTGCCATACGGTTCCATCTTCTGTTGATTTGAAGGCCGTTCTTGGGGCGGTAACAGGGTGACGTTGACAGCTTCTTCCCACAGCGCGAGTTCAGAAGGTTTGGCAAGCACATCGCGCATCTGATGCGAGGTATAGCCAAGTTTACGGAGTGCGACTGCGATAGTGGTTGTTCCCGTACGACACATTCCCAGAACGAGGATGCGCATTGGCTTTTTGCGAGTTCGCTCGTCGCGGTCGATGAGTCTCTGCTTGGACATGCTGGGCGTAATTTGCGATAGACTCATGTTGCTGTATTGTCATGAATGATCGTGATGATTGTCAGGTGAAGATACGTTTGTTGTAATGCGAAGATGCAGAGGCGTGGTGATGCATTAGGCTAATAAGCGGGCGACCGGGTGAACAGGGCCGCATGTGCGAACCGCAGGTCTGGAACGGTCAATCCTCCGCACAAAATGCAGGGCAATGCGACGCGAGTGTTAAAGCCGCTTGCAGAATCTCATGTTGAAGCACGACTTCGTAGCCCGGTCTCCCAGTTTGATATAAAACTGCTGGTGAGGTGATGCAACTCTAACGTGCTCTTCGAGTCCGGATCCTCCATGTAACGTATTTCGTAGGCTCGGTTCGCCCATCTCGCAGCGGTCGCCCAATCTTCCACTCTGGCATGGCTTATAGCGGCAATTCTGTAGGCTTTGGCATAGTAGTCGGCAAGTCCTTCCTCCTCTACTAGTCCGGCAAGTTGAACGCTCACCTCAGCGTCCTTTTGCGCCTGACGCTTCCCGGCCTTGGACTGTGGCGCCATCAGCACCATTTGCGGTTCGAACTTGGAGAATGCGTTTTTGATGGTGATGCGGCGATTGTCGCTAGCTATCTGAGCGGCTCGCTCATGTGCACATGCTTCACAGTGGCACTGGAAGCCATATCGATCAAGCTGCTTTTGGCGATCTTCCCGACTGAGCAACAGGGAGATGTAAGACACGAAGAATTCTTCCCCTGCCTTGATCTTGCGTGTCGCGTAGACGATGCGCTTGTTTAGCTTTTCGCTCCAGTAGTAGCTAGTGTTTGGCCGGCATGAGTGGTTGATGCGAGCGATTTTGGGGAATAGGCCGACCTGATCGCCGGTGTTGTAGGCATTGTTGCGGAAGATGGTGCCCAGAGTATCTTGAGAATTGCTGTCAACAGCTTTTGCCTGATGTGTTAAAGAGAGGACCTCCTCTTGTGACTCTAGCGATAGGGTGTCAAATTGCTCTTGGAGTAGCATAGCGACAGCTGCCATTGGATATGGGCTCCCCTTCGCCAGCTTTGGCAAACGAATCTTGAGGACGGGCGTCTCGCGCATGACGATGTCGCCTATGTCCATATCATGAGCAGCAAAAACACCCAGACCCTTTCCTTCGCTTGCTTTGACGAGATAGACCCCCGGCAGCCCAAGGCATGTCGGGTACTGAATGTGGCGTGTCGAATTGGATGGGCATTCTTCGGGATGATGTGCAAGGACTGTTGAGCGAGCAAATGATAGAAGGCAAACGAGATAGAAACGCATTTTGCAGAGTCTAGATGAGTGACCAAGGATCTTTGGGAACGATCAGGGTGAAGCTGGGCCTACCTGACTTTCTATACGCGTGCTTGGGATGAAACGCGTTTGACACGGATGCCTCGCGGCGTCGGCCTCCTGCAGTGATTGTGCAGACATTACAAATTTGGGCAAGACCGTCATAGCCCTGGCGAGTGGTATGATAGCAAGAAATAGCGAAAGCGAGCGTTGTGTTGAAGTGCAAGCAGATGGGGAGTGTCTTGGTCACGAAGTGGCTTTTCCGCACGGCGGAACCATGCCGCGACGCGATGGATAGCGTGCAGGCGCGACAGGGCGAGCTCCTTCATCTGCCACAGTTTATACGCGTTGCGCCGTCGCATACATGTCGCCAGTCTTGGGCGATTGATGAAAATGGCGTCAACACGAGTGTCAATTGAGATGCGATGCGGGTCTGATGGTCCCGTCAACAGCCGCTGCCGCACCTCAGGATGCCGATGACGAGTCGGCCTGCCGTAAACCCCAACCGCGACAGCAAAGCTTCCCCGCGCTCTGGTGGGGCCGCTGCCCATTCTGTACCCATCCCATGATAGCAGCAGGAGCGATGGGGCATCCAATTCTCCGACGCACGCCGTCATCGGACTTGTGCGCACCTGCCCTCAAGTCACCTTGCAGACACGACAGATAACATAGCACACGGCAGACAAGATGGTGTAAGTATGACCCCCGCATACACAGGCGTATCATGTACTGACTACCGCCAGCTACACGGCGTCCTTTGCCTTCTTCGAGGCGCTCTGGGAGTACGGCGTCAGTCACGTCTTTGTCAACCTTGGGTCCGACCATCCCTCCATCATCGAAGCCATCGTCAAAGGCCAGAATGAGAAGAAGGGCCAATTCCCCAAGATCGTCACATGTCCGAACGAGGTAGGTGCCAGAGATGCACTTCAATTCGGCCAGACACTGACGCGTCTAGATGGTCGCCCTTTCCATGGCGGACGGATATGCCAGACTGACGGGCAAACCCCAATGCGTCATCGTGCACGTCGACGTCGGAACCCAAGGCCTCGGAGCCGCCGTACACAACGCCTCGTGCGGCCGCGCACCCGTCCTCATCTTCGCCGGCCTCTCGCCCTTCACCATCGAGGGCGAGATGCGCGGCAGCCGGACGGAATACATCCACTGGATACAAGACGTGCCGGACCAGAAGCAGATTGTCGCGCAGTACTGCAGGTACACGGGCGAGATCAAGTCGGGCAAGAATGTCAAGCAGATGGTCAATCGCGCTCTGTCGTTCGCCATGAGCGATCCCAAGGGGCCTGTCTATCTCTATGGCGCGCGCGAGCCCATGGAAGAGGACTTGACTCCATACAAGCTGGAGATGGACTTCTGGCATCCGGTCGAACCCGCCGCTCTTCCTCCCAAGGGTGTCAAGACGATTGCCGAGGCCTTGGTGAACGCTCAGGAGCCTCTCATCATCACCGGATACTCGGGGCGAAACCACGATGCCGTGCAAGAACTCGTGCGCGTGGCTGACAACGTCAAGGGCATTCGCGTACTGGACACTGGAGGAAGTGACATGTGCTTTCCCGCAAACCACCCCGCTTGGCTCGGCCTACGGTACGGCAACGACCCTGCCATCAAGACGGCTGACGTCATCCTAGTCCTCGACTGTGACGTGCCCTGGATCAACACACAGTGCCATCCCAAGGAGAATGCCAAGATCTTCCACGTCGATGTCGACCCCCTAAAACAACAGATGCCTGTATTCTACCTAAACGCTACACAGCGATACAGAGCCGACTCTTATACCTCGCTGACGCAGCTCAACGAATACTTTGAATCGCAACTCAAAGAGAAGATCTCTTCCCAGCTCTTCGATCAACGGTGGACAGCGTTACAAGAGTCGCATAAGAAGAAACTCGAAGGTATTGCCGGGGAAGCCAAGGTCGACGACAATGGCCATTTCAGTACCCCATATCTTTGTTCTCAACTCAAGAAACTCTGCCCTAATGACACCATCTGGGCTATAGAGGCTGTTACTCAGACTGGCTTTGTTGCGGACCAGATTCAGGCTACGCTTCCTGGCTCGTGGATAAACTGCGGTGGTGGCGGACTTGGGTGGTCTGGAGGTGGTGCGCTTGGCGTCAAGCTTGCGACTGACACAGAAGGAAAGAAGCAATTCGTATGTCAAATTGTCGGCGACGGTACCTACCTGTTCTCTGTTCCCGGATCAGTATACTGGATCGCGCAGCGCTACAAAATCCCCATCCTTACCGTCGTCCTTAACAACAAGGGCTGGAACGCTCCACGACGGTCGATGCTACTCGTACACCCCGATGGAGAGGGTTCTAAAGTCAGCAACGAGGAGCTCAATATCAGTTTTGCGCCAACTCCAGACTACTCAGGCATTGCCAAAGCGGCCAGTGGTGGTCAGATCTGGGCTGCACATGCATCCACTTCAGACGAGCTCAGCAGGCTGTTGCCTGAAGCCATCAAGAGCGTACTCAGTGGAACATCAGCAGTGTTGGATGCTCACCTTGAGGGCCCAGAGGGAAAATATGGCGGAGGTAAGGGACGTCTGGGTTGAACCGAGCGCCTGTTTTTGCCGCAATCGATAATCAAGGGAAGCCTGGCATGCTGCGTTAGTGAAGATGTAACACATAGCAATGGCACACCTGCATACACGTTTTACTTAAACACGTCAAAACAGTCATGTTCGAGTGAGGCTAACTGTATGCAGGTGTTGTGCCACCTTGATCGTTGCACATCATGAGAGGTAGGCCAAATTGCGGTACGTGTAGTGAAGGACCTGATGACACCGAAGGACTTATGAGGACAAACCAGTCACAGAGGAGCGAGGTAAGGCATCAATGCAGACTCAATCGTGCTGGCCAGAGTCACAACTAGCTATTATATGCGTCATGGAGGACTATAAAAACTCCTCTTCACAGACTTTCACACTCTTATATACATCATCAAAGAGCAAGCAAACAAACCAATCCAAATTCCAAACCTACCTCTCACATCTTGGCTACCACAGTCCTCCACAGTTAAACTGCAAAACCTCAACATCCTACTCAGCTGCCACCTTTACGGGATGTGTTGGTGGGTTACAAACTTCCACAAATGTGGATGCAAATACATGTCCACTCCTGAAAATCCGGAGGGTTACGGTCGTGTGTATATGAACTGTGAGGGGGTTAGCAGCTCCCCCCCAAAAGGTTCGAACGGCTGCGAGAACAACCCCGGCGGCCGAGAAACGATAATGGGAACGAAGTCAGTCTTTCTCGAAACGAACTGCCCAAGGCACGAAGCGGAGGCCAAGGATGCGCAGGAGAAGAAAGATGACGTTGACGGTGGAGGAGGAAAGGGTGACGGTACTGTAAAGGTCGGGGCTTGAGGAGAGGACGACTGAGAGATAGACCACAGTGGAGCATGGACGTCTCATTAAGGACATGGAAGTGATTGCCAAAACAATATGAACAAGATTTCGAGTCATAAATGGTACACAATCAGTCTACCCCTGTTTGCTTCCGAGATTTGAGTGACGAGATGAGTGTGTGCTCATGCCTAGGCAGTGACGGTCATCACATGGCATGTTGCACGAAATCCAGTGCAGAACGCGGCGAAGACACAATCTCCTCAGCCACTAGCCATATTGACCTTGCACATCGTTTTCAGAGGAAAATGCAGCAATGCGCATAGTCGCATCTCATACAGGAAGCCGCATCTGCAATGTCGGCGCTGCAATCGTCTCACGTCAGCTGTATATTACCAAAGCGCCGGAAGCTTTATAGTTGAGACGGACTTGGAGTTGCACGGCGCTATGTAGCCGCATTACGGCCAAAACACGAAAGACTGTTGAAGAAGAAAGAGGCATCTGCATCATGACGTCGCAGCATGAGGAAACAACCACAACATCTGGCGCGCCCGTTATCTCAAAATCAAGTGGCCGAGCTATACCCGTGCTATCACCCGCCATCCGCGATACGATAAACCCATTGATGCTTTCCGGCAAGTCTCGAGCGGGGCGGAAGGGATAGCCGTGGTCGGTGCGGACAAGCTTTCGCAGCCAGCGTACCAAGGTTCACGGCACCACCAAAGCTTACGTCAAGCACGTAACCGTCGCATTGGACGCAATTATCCATCAGATCGACGAAAGTGCAGGACCAAGCGACGCCGTTATCGTCCACCCCAGCCTCGCATACTGGGAACAGCAGGTGCGCGCGTGCCAAGACGGTGGAACGGGCTGACCTAGCTGGAAGAGGCAGCCGCATATGCACTTTACCGTGATATCGGTCTTGCCCTACGTAGTCGGCATCATGGGTAGGTAACTCAATCTTGATGATGCCGGTCCGTGTACTCATTAATATGCCTCAAGGGTCCCTCTCACCTCCGCTTCTCACGCCCTTCCTGTCGCTCGCACATCTGCCTCACAAAGCTTTGTGGTAAATGATGGCGGCCCGAAGCCCTCATCGCGCCTCAATGGCTGTCATCTTGAGCACGATGCTTGAGCTTGCGGCAGCTGCTGTGGTGCGTCGCCAGAGCGCGCCTGTGAACCCGTTCGCGCCCATCGACCCCCAGAACTGGGTCAATCCAGACAACATGACTTGGGATGGTACGTCTGAGCATAACAATGCACATGAAGAAGGTCACTAAAGCTTTAACTAGATTATGCTGCACCACCCACAACCAATTGGGCTGATCCAGCACGCAAGGGCAGAGATCGGAACTTCAACATCGCCTTGGTGACCATAGATTACCCAGACTCTCCGTTCGTTGTCACGTTGCCGGCCAACTCGGATATTTTCGGTAACCCGCAACCACTTGCCGCTGGCTTGAGCCGTGAGGATGTGCCCAAGTTCTACCACGATCTTCTCAACGTACCCAGCGAGCTCAACGAAGGTCACACACTCCACGAGTATTGGATGGGCGACTCGTTCGGAAAGTATGGTGTGGACCTGACCGTGTTCGGCCCTTATCGCATGCCGGCGCGTAGCTACCAATATGGTATCGACGATGAAGAGGGTGGTTTTAATGAGGGCGCTTGCCCCGAAGGACCGCCATGCTCGGTTGATCTTAGGACCGATGCGCTCGGAGCATGGCGTGCTGATGTTGGAAATGAGACGGCAGACGCGTATGAGTTGGCCTTCATTCTCTCGGCCGGCCAAGACGAATCCTCGACGTGGCAGGAATTTGGTGAGATGAAGTTCCTCTCCAAAGAAGACGTTCCCGAGGAGTTTGGACCACCGGATAACTCCTCGCTTCCAAACTGGGCTAGTACACGTTATGTTGAGTGGTCATCGTGGGCTGCAGCCTCTACGATATGGCCGAACGCCGGTGGCGGTTCGTCTACCCAGGGAGAATCGAGTGGAATGGCTACGTTTGCTCACGAACTATCGCACTTGCTCGGTATCGGAGATAACTACAACAACCCCTTCAGTGACCCTCCGCGACGAACATACACCGGCCCATGGAGCATGCTGTCCCGAGGCAGTTTCAACGGACCAGGTGGACCCCACACGCGCTGGCAGATTCCTCCTGTACAGGGTGCATCAATGGGATCCCTGCACACTATGCGAGACAAGCACCAGATTGGGCTCATTGATACAACTCCGATCTTGCAAATCTCTCGCTCAGGTCTCGCCACTTCTGGTCCAGTCATCGCGCAGATTACCGCTCGCTCTGTCGATCCGGTGGACAGTCTAATGGGATTCAATATTTCCTTTGGCGCTGCCGGCGACCTTGCGCCCCCATGTAATGCGTCCCTTGATGCTCTATGCGACGGACGTGGCTACAACAACTACAATGTTGAGGTCGTTCAGCGACTTGGTGCTGACTCTTTCTGCCCAGATTCTGGTGTCATGATTAGCAAGACCAAGGACAGCGATCGCGTGCAGCCGTTCCAATGGACGATTGATGCAAACCCACAGGATGCGCGCCAGATCGATTTCTTCCTCCCCAACGGCACCGCAAGATACTGGACCATTGGCGACTACAGGCAACTAGTCGATGCCTTGTTCCACGCTGGTACAAACTCTGGCTCGGAATACGAGCACATCGATCACGAGAACGGCCTGCATTTGTACATCCTCGAGAAGATCATCGACGACAATGGGGTATTGCACTACACCGTAGGCGCAGCATCAACCGCGACCAACGTTACCACGTCCGCTCAACATGGCATTGAGCTCGGATCTGGCAAGGTTGTCAGCAACGGAAACGCTACCAGCCCCGCGGACGGCTTATACTGCACTTTCGAGCTGAAGAACACCGGTAAAGCCGCCTCGCTTGCGACAAACCCTCATCCACAGGATCTGTCCGCCTACCTTGGGTCGGATATCTACCGTTTGAAGACCGAGGTCAATGGCGCTGGTTGGAAGGTCGCTGTCCCTAACGCGTTGGCTTACGCCAAGGCAGGTAAGCAGAAGACAGTCAATGTCGCTGTTGGTTGCCAGGGATACTGTTCGAAGGAAGCCACGGTGACTCTCATCGCTACGAGTGAAAGTGACAAGTCTGTCACTCGAACGAAGACTTGCAAAGTTCGTTTGTAGATAGTTGATCAGCCCATCAATTCTCACATCTCTTCTGCCTTACCTTGTGACGAATATTACATAAGTCTACATTTGTTGAACATCGTGGGTTAGTATTCTGTTAGAGTCTATCAACTTGCAACTTGTGCTGTCGCTGAACTTTGCAGCGTTAAGCTCGCTTTCTGTCTACGAACTCTGGAAAGATGGTAGCACTCTAGAGATCTGACTACGCCTTATCTTTGACCCTGCATGTCCAGCGCCCTGTATGTTGCCCAAGTCTGCGCAGCTGACACTGCTAAACTTCCTGCGGCTAGGACCAACGCCGTGACCCCAAAGATGACAGCCGCCCAGAACGTGTACCAGGTATTGGAGTCTCTCTGGTCCTTCCACAGGGCGATGAACCCTTTCGGCTTCTGCTTCTCTAGATGCCCAATCAAGATCTCGATACGAGGAGTAAGTTCCGGGTATAACTCGTACGACACTTGGTCTGTAACGCCAAGGCTTTCTTCTTCGTCGTTCGAGTGTCAGCGTACAACTCATTTGGTTGTCCTCCCTCCGCAATCTCTGTACGTTTGTTATTAAAAGACCTAAACTGTACAAGACCTCGGGACAGTTGATAGGTAGCTTGCACTTTCTGCTAGTGCTGTCTTTTGAGAAGCGAGCGGATAGTTCCGTGCGGCCTCTGGGGTCGCGGCTTTCTGAAATGGAACAACATAGCTATAGCGTTTAAGGTTTCGCCGAGCCCTGAAAACAAGCCTTTAACTAAAGTATTTGTTAGTACTTGCTGCTGCTAGACGCTTTGCAGAGGAGCAAGCTACTAAGGCAGCGGAAGATCGTAGTATGCCTCTCTGCGTGACGAGCTAGATGCTACCTAGGTAGCTTACAAAAGATCTATAAATACAATCTAAGTATCTACTTTTAATATAGTATTACTATTTGTAATATACAAGGTCTACTAGTCTTTACATAATTAGATTTATAATTAAAGAGATTATAGTATATACTAATAATATTAGAAGATAATACTCTAGAGATAATAATAACTTACTAGAATATTAAGTTCTAGTAAACGTGTAACGTAAACTAGAAAATATAAATAGTAAATATTAATATATTAAGAGTTAAGTACTTATAAAAGTATTTAGTCTACTCTAGTTTTAATTCTCTAACACTAATAAGAAGATTTAGCTTAAAGTATCTTAGGTTAAAAACCTCTTTAATAGAATAATAGCGTAATAGATTCTTCTCTAGATATAATACTAGCGCTACTAACTTAGATAGTTATAGTAATAGTAGATATCTAACTTTATTAATATTATCTATATTATTAAGTTTAGTCTCTAATATAGAACTCTATAACTATATCTTATAGATAAGCTTAGATTAAAGCTTTTAAATATCTATTCTCTTACTTTTAAAAAATATATTAAGAAGCTTAGTAGATATAAGAATATATAGAATATATTCTAAATACTTAATCTTATCTAGAGACTAGAGCTTAACTAGAATATATTTCTAGTAAAGGCTATAGAGAATCTAGTCTACTATAATAAGCTTCTATAGCTAAAACTTTAGATATATTTATTTACTAGCTAGCTAGTATTTAAGTTCTATAGTAGTGTTTATAATCTTAATAAAGTAAGTTAATAAGTCTTTTAGCTTATAGTAGACAAAAAATAACTAGACTTATAGCCTATTTTTATTTTCTTAGATTAATTTAAAGTTTAGAAACGTTCTATATAGCTAATAATTCTAATAAGTATTAAGTCTTTACTTTAGATCTCTAGTATAATATAGTAGTTTCTCTTATACTAAGAGTATAAAAGTAAAGATAGAGTTCTAGTTTTAAAATATAAAATACTATAATAATACTCTAATTTTATTTTATAATACTACTAAGTTATTAAGATTATCTAGATTATAATACGTAGCTTAATTTTAACCTACTTATATAAAATATAATTAAATAATATAGTAATTATTACTAAAGTAGAACTTATTAAAAGATATTACTTATATATCTATAAGTATAAGAATACTTTCTAGAAGATAGATATTAGAAAGACTTATAGTTATCTAGAAAGTAGTATTTTAAGTTTTTATATTACTTAATTTTATCTACTATTAAATAGTTACTCTCTTAGAAAGAAATCTTAAATAGACTTTATTTAAAAAGTAGATCTAGATTAGTTTAATCTTAGACTAGTCTATTACTTTATAGAGTTACTTAATAATTTTAAAAAGCTTTTATAGTTAGTATATAATTCTTATAAAGATTTATATTTAATAAACTATTACTTAAAAGATTCTAGAACGTAATACTAGTAAGCTATATTTTATATAGCCTAAACTATTAAGAGTTTTATAGTTTACTAGCTTCTACTAAATATTACTTTTTATTTACTTTATAATAATAAATAGCTTAAGGCTTATTAGCTATAGAAGTATATTTAGCTTCTAACCTTACTCTTACTAATACTTAATAAATATTAGAGTTTAGTTCTCTAAGAATACTACTATATATAGCTTTATAAGTATATTATCTTTATATAGCTAGCTTATATAAAGTAAGATTTATATCTATAATCTTTTAAAAAAGAAATATTTACTTCTTTATATCTTTAGTTATACTTAATACTAGAGATAAACTAGCATACTATAATTAGTATCTAATATTAAATCTACGTTTTAGACTTATATATACTTTATTACTAAGTAATAAAACTAGTAAGTTATCTTATAAAAGTCTTAAATATCTATTAGTATATTACTTATATACTACGCTATACTTCTTTATATTTAGATTAGAAACTAGAACTCTAATACTAACTATCTAGATACTTAGATATATAGAGTAAGATAGAACTAAGGTAGAAGAGAATCTAGACTATATAAAAATTACTAAGAGTATATTCTTACTTATATATTAAAAAACTAGAAAGTAAATAATAATAAGTAGTGTTCTAGAGTAAGGCTACTAAAGGTTCTATCTAAGATTAGAGTTTTACTACTAATAGTAAGTTAGCTATAATAGGCTAAGAATTAAAAGCTAAGTTTACTATAGTATATGTATCTATATATATATAGATTTAGTAGTAATCTATATTAATTAGAAACGTAAGCTTTAAATCTATACTCTATTTTTAAGCTATACTATATAGATTTTATACTTATACCTAGATAAGTATATATACTAACACTACGCTCTTAATACTTATATTAAATTTAGCTTTTTATTTTAATAGATAGTTTTATTAAATATACTAACTTTAAAGAAATAGCTATTAGATTTTAGCTTATTATAATAGAATATTAATATAGAGTAAAGTAATAAAATATAGTTAAGTAACTTTATATAGTAATCTTAATATAAATATATTTTTTAAAATACCTTTTATTTAGTATAATATAGTAGTAGAAATTAATAAAACTCTATTAATAATATTTACTATAAATTTAAAGCGTTAATAATATACTTATAAAGTTAATAGTAATAGAAAACTATCTAGTATACTTAAAAATTAACTTAGAAGTACTAAAGATAAGCTATAGTACTATAAATTTATTAAAAGTTTAAAAATATATATCTAGATAAGCTTTTAAGACTAGATAGATACTAATAGTAATAATAAATAGCTTTTATTAGTAGAAGAGCTAAAAGTTTAAAAGTAGTTTAATACTAAATAAAAGCTATTTTATTAGCTATAGAACTAGGTAAATAACTATATTTATAAAAGCTTTTTAAAAAAATAATACTATAGTTTAGTAGATAGCTACTTTATATAACTTCTTATATAAAAAGTCTATATACTTATAAGATACTTCTCTTTATTTTATATCTTAAAATACTTTTAAGACTAAATTCTCTAAAATACTAGTAATAATTAAAATTAACTATTTTTCTAAACTTCTAAGAAATACGCTTATTCTCTTTAATACTATAACTATAGATACTACTAAAAATACTACTAAAAATACTACTATAGTAGATTTTACTACTTATAAAAGAGAATTTAAGCTTATAAAAGATTTAACTAACTTAGTTTTATAAATAAATCTTTTATTATTAAGATTATATCTAAGTAATAATTATATTTTTTTTTAAAATATTATTTTTCTAACTAAGTTAGAATTTTTTAATTATAGCTTAAATCTAACTATATATATTAAATATAGCTTTACTTATTAACTAATAAATACTTAATATTAGTTTAAAAGAAGTCTAGCTTAACTCTAAATAGTAAGAAAATATAAAGTTACTACTAAAAATATAGATTTTATATTAGTATTATTAGAGATAAAAAGATAAGTAATTATTAAAGATAATTAAGTATATTTTTTATTTCTTTTACTTTAAAAAGTTAGAATAGAATCTCTAGCTATATACTTAAGAGCTTAGTAACTATATTTCTAAAATTCTATAATTATAACTACTTTTAACCTTTAGTAGTATTTTGTAGTAGTATAGTACTAGAAATTAATATTACTTTAGACCTAGAGTTTACTTATATAGCTACTTAAACTCTTACTTATTTATAACTATAGCTAAGATTATATAGAGAGAAAAGTAGAGTTTAATATCTTTAAGGTAATATTAGTGTTAGTATTAAGCTTAGAAGTTATATCTAGGTATTTAGCTAGGTATTTAGCTCGATATTTAGCTTAAGTATTAAAATTTCTTAAAGATATAAGATGTTCTTTAAGATAGAAAGTTATTAAATAGAAAAAAAAAAAGAAGAAAAGTATTTTCTATATATAAAGTTTATATAACTCTCTCTAAGCTACTATTCTCTATACTATAGTTTACTTACGTAAACATTATTTACTACTTATAGTATAGTACTATAATTTAATATTACTCTAGATCTAGAGTTTACCTATACTACCTAGACTTCTACTTTTTCTACTAAGAGCTTTCTCTTAGAAAGCTTCTATATTAACTTTTAAGAATATTTTAATATTTCTATAGCTCTATAGCTTACTTATTACTATCTCTAAGTCTACTTCTAAGTATACTAGAA